TACCGATACTCTACAAGTGATACTTGATTCGGAAGTGCAACCCGATGAGTGTATATGATATAGTTGAGACACTGCTGAGGGTCTATGCCTCGGCTCCAGATCACCAAACACAATTACCGATACTCTACAAGTGATACTTGATTCCGGAAGTGCAACCCGATGAGTGTATATGATATAGTTGAGACACTGCTGAGGGTCTATGACTCGGCTCCAGATCACCAAACACAATTACCGATACTCTACAAGTGATACTTGATTCCGGAATTGCAACCCGATTAGTGTATATGATATGGTTGAGACACTCTTGAGGGTCTATGACTCGGCTTCAGATCACCAAACACAATTACCGATACTCTACAAGTGATACTTGATTCCGGAATTGCAACCCGATTAGTGTATATGATACATTTGAGACACTGCTGAGGATCTATGACTCCGCTTTAGACTATCAAACACAATTACCGATACTCTAGCAGTGATACTCGATTCCGGAATTGCAACCCGATTAGTGTATATGATATAGTTAAGACACTGCTGAGGGTCTATTACTCGGCTTCAGACTATCAAATACAATTACCGATACTCTACAAGTGATACTTGATTCCGGAATTGCAACCCGATTAGTGTATATGATATAGTTGAGACACTGCTGAGGATCTACCACTCGGCTCCAGATCATCAAACACAATTACCGATACTCTAGCAGTGATACTTGATTCCGGAATTGCAACCCGATTAGTGTATATGATATAGTTGAGACACTGCTGAGGGTCTATGCCTCGGCTCCAGATCACCAAACACAATTACCGATACTCTACAAGTGATACTTGATTCCGGAAGTGCAACCCGATGAGTGTATATGATATAGTTGAGACACTGCTGAGGGTCTATGCCTCGGCTCCAGATCACCAAACACAATTACCGATACTCTACAAGTGATACTTGATTCCGGAAGTGCAACCCGATGAGTGTATATGATATAGTTGAGACACTGCTGAGGGTCTATGACTCGGCTCCAGATCACCAAACACAATTACCGATGCTCTAGTAGTGATGCTTGATTCCGGAATTGCAACCCGATGAGTGTATATGATATAGTTGAGACACTGCTGAGGGTCTATGACTCGG